CACAAATTAAATTGATTTGGCTGTAAGTCAGTGCAAATAATTGAACTTCAAAAGAATCCATGCACCACTTGAAAAAGCTTGTGTACATGTCCCAGAGTTTGATACCACTGGTCAAAGTGTAGACAGAATACCTGACAGATATATAGTTTACTCATTGTCATCAACTTGGCCCTTTATTGAGTCATGATTGCATTATTTTTCTGTTGCTAGAGCAATAGAAGTTCAATTTTATGAGATTTATGGCTTAATAAAAGCTGTCCGTTAGAGGTGGCAAAGAAATACGACACCCCAAATAAACTCGCCATACTGTGGTCCGCATCTGTTGCTGTAAATGATACGAGGTAGATGGAGTTCAATAATCACCCACGGCAATATGGATTTATAATTGTGTGTTCTCGTAAAGAGGGAAATAACATCTGGCATAAGTTAACTGCATTCGAGGAGAAACTTCAGCTAGCACTGTTTCTGTGATGATTCACATTATGCTTTATGTGTGTGACTAACCTTGTAGTCAAAACCTGCCCATGTTTTTCTATTAAAAACTAGGAAATAAATCACCCAAATACTGATCAGGCATGACACTGATGAATGCACTACTCACTGCATAATTGATTCTGCATGTTGGACATTTAGAAGCAATTCGTTCTGTACACATTTCAAACCTTTTATTGAAAATGTTCCTTTAAAACGGACAAACCCAGACAAAGCAGGCAGAATAGATAGGCCAAATAGATCTCTGATCACTAGTCATCAAACCAGATTCCACAATGAGAGCAAGAAGACCTAGTGATCTTAAGCTGCTGTTTATTCACTCATTAAACTTGAAAACATGCTATGGGAAGACTCTTACACAATTCCCACTGCCCCCAAATTCCAGATTCTCCATTTCAGCCTAAAAATAGTCTGCAATAGTCAAGTGTAGTTCTGACTAATATTAGGCATAAATATTTATACTATATTAATAAGATAATTGAATTTAAGAGAGGATGGCACATGGCCCAGTGTAATTCAGGATCTCAATATGTTGCTGCAATACATTGTGTGTAGGACAGTGTCAAAACATATATGTTATTGTTGATGTAACCATAACAATGAAGTAACAATGTAAACACAAAACACTGTTTTCTTAGAAACCATAGCAGTAAACCTGATAAATGTGTAGACCCTTTTATTATTATTATTGCACATACCACATACACTGCCTGCCCGTTTAGCACCAGACACACTTTTCACACCCTTTAATCACACAAGCTTTCTTACTTCCTCTTCTGTACATCAAGCATTTTTTTTATCAACTCTCATCAACAAACTGCCACTAGACTCTCTTAAAATGTGCTGATTTAAAAAATAAAATATGCAATTATCTGCAATATATTTTGTGTATCAGAAAAATAGCTGACTTAGGCTACTTTTCTGTTAAAGGCAAAGCTGGTAAAGTCTTGATGGCGCCATGAAGGTAACAGTGCTGTAGCCTCTGGTATGTGAAGAAGAGAAAACATTAATGGACTCTCAGACAATTCCCAGTGGTAGCTCTCACTGACTGTCTCCTTTAGCAACACAGCTCATCTCCTCTTTATAAATGAGGCAATGTGTGTGAGACAAAAACTACTATAGATAGTGTTAGAATGCCCCACAGTGCTAAATAACCACAAATACTATAAGTGAAAGTAAAGTCATTTCAAACATGCTCATTTATAGGTGACTTGCTAACCCAAAAATCCCCTTTATGGCTGAGATATTTACATCCTGTTGGCCTTGATGTACTTATTATGAGTTGTGCTAGGCACTGTAGTCTGTAGGCTCAATATGTGACAAAGGTTAATGGCCAAATCTCTGCAACTACAAATGCCTGCAATAAGCTGTTGATATGAGTTCAATACAAACCCCCATCCCCTTTATAAATCACTCAACATGATCAAATTCCACTGATGACTTTGGAGCTGTTATTGCAAAGCAGTCTAATGGGTGGTTAGACAGTAATGTGGAAAAACTGAAACAGGACAACAGGTATTGTAGTTCAAGAAGCATAGGTATTGTATGGGTTCATTCAAAGAGGACATTAAGTTAATTATTTCAAGAAAGAAGTATGTAGTGTAGAGGAAGGCAATATATCAAATTGAGAGGAATAACATTTTCATATTTAAAACTCAGCTAATACATATAAAAACATTGTTCCTTTTTAGATCATCTTGAAAGGACCGGATTTTACTGACCGTTTATGTTTGTTTTCCTAGTGGTTTTTGTGTAGTTTTGAGTGTAGAGAAAGGGGTGGGGTTTGTTTTGTTATGTATAATTTAAACATTTCTAAATTAAAAAAAAAAATATATATATATACTGTGAGTTGATTTTTTTTCAGTAAAGTCCATTCCTAATAGTGAATTCACAGCATTAAATCACTATAATTAACAATTTCATGAATGGTAAAATATTGTTATTTAATTCACATTTAGCAAAAATTATTATCTTGCCATATTTTGTATGTTCAGAGAAAGGAATATAAGCCTCTTTGAAGAGTTTTAATGATTATTATGAGAAAGGCACTCTTCTGAGTGCCCAGATATCTCAGAGCTTCATCTTAAACATTGACTGTGAAATGAAATAGGATCAGGAAGATGGAAGGAGTCGGGAAAGAACCTTATGGAGAATACTGGATTACTGTGTAGAGTTCCAGTGCATCCTGTGTCTTGACAGTTGCGTCAAACACCAAATAAAGGTTAATGGGTGTTATTGGGTGTGACCACAGTACAACATGATCCCTAAACCAGGTTGCACTAAAAGTAGAAGCACTTGAGAGCAATGACAATTACACTATAATATTTAAATTCTTAGTTGATTGTTCATTATGACGTGGTTGCAAATTATGTTTTTTAGACCTTGTTAAAAATAAAACTAAATGCCTGTTCAACCTGTAGCCTGTGTTTTCTAAAACAAAAAACTACACAACAAAGGAGTTTATATGATACATTTATTTGAAATGGATAATGCAGTCAGACAGTTACTAAACAAAGCTTGCATGTGATGTGACACAGAAGTCTATTCTTGGATTTCTGTTCTTGTTTATAGCTTCAAAATATATAATAATTTATTTTTAATTGTTTGTTGCTATGGCAATGGTGCTAGATTTCTATCACCCTGAAAACCATGGATCTTAAGTGGGAAATTTACTACTTCTGTCCCTGAGGCTTTGTATATTACATTACAAATTATATTACAAAATACATAATCCTTTATTATGGTAATTTCTAAATAAACATCCATATTCCCATTAATTTACTCACATTCTCATTTGTACCATTCTATTGAGGAATGTGTAGAGTTTTGATGAGTATTGAGCCCATATTTATGATAGGAAGTGAACATTTGGAGTTTCATGACACTTTTTACACTGACCTGACCACTGACTAGATTTATAAGTCTTTATTGATCCAGTACAATAACAAAGAGTCAAGAAATATGTAAAAGAAAATGGTAATAAAATTCTAAATAAGTAACAGAACTTAATTTTACTGCTAGAGACAATGGCATTGTCTTTATTTTGGCCACACCATTTTAAGCACTGGCAGCAAACACATGAGTGATGAGTCTCCTCCAGTGTGCAGGGCGCCTGTGAGCTGAGAGCACCATAAGAGGCATCAAATGGTATTAGAGGCAGGGTGGTATAATGGGGACAAACACCAGGGCTGGTATATGCCACAAGTTACTGTATGTTTGAAAAGCTCTCAGCTGATATATTAAGTGCATGATAGCTGTACTGTATAACTGTAATGGTGCACAGATTTGTTTTACCGCATTCAGGTTGTCTGGTTAATGGGTGGTTGCACTATAAGCTGGTACATGCTTTTTAATGGTATTTCTCTTTGTGCTCACTGTACTGAATTAGTGACTGAATGAGTACACCAAAAAGAGACATTACTAGGCCCGTTGCCATAATCACTACATTGACTTCTCATTCAATATAGATATATAGAGCAATATGGATCAATAAATTTTTGGGGTCAGTATTTATTGTGTATACTTTTTCTTTGTATACTGGGAAATTTTTGGTTATTTTTTGGCAATATGATATGATTTGAGGGTTGAATAGTTAACTTTGATGATTCATTACAGATTTAAACTAAATACTAAAAAGTTTAATTCTGCTATTTACATATTGCAGGTCATGTTTCTAACAACATTGTAGAGTTAGAATAGTTTTTGTGGTGTGGTCTGTTGTGTCTTGGCCTGTTGTGTTAGTGACATAAATTAGTTTCATTGTTGTCATTTATCTCACGGCTATCATGACGGACCTAGACATTACAAAATTATTCTGACTATAATATAAAAATATTAATTATTTGGAATATGTTATATTTTTTCAATAAATATTGTTGATATGGTTGATAAGTTCAAGGGTCAAATGAAAGTGGTGAGTACAAATGTGGAATTTCCATTCACACGTAGTTCTTTCCATTGTGGTTGTAGGAGTACAGATTTCAGATATTCTGTGTTCATGTATGTGTCAGCTTGCACAATAATGCAAAAACAGAAACAGGCAGATTTTGGTTGCTCCCTCGAGCTTGGGCCTGTCACTCTGAAACAACACAATTATTAGTTTGTAGTCCAGGCCTTAGCAACAGAGAAACATTTACAGCAATGGATGAAATCCCTCCGTCAGCAGCAGGCATTAATTAGGCCACTGTTGTTGGATATTTGGTGGAGGAAATGGGGAATTGTTGATAGAGTAGAACAGAGAGGTGACAAATAGAGGTTCAGGGCCAGCTGCTGCTACTGTTAATGCACGTGAAGCAGCTGTGCCTGTCAGGAATAAGTCTGCTGTGTATCAGACTGAAAAGGTCAGTGGAAGGGGCTTTGACATTCTATCAACAGCAGAAAAACATAAAAGTTCATGAAAATAGATGACATAAATTGAATTGCCCATATTTCCCACGAGACTGAGTCATTATTGGGCTGTGAAAACACCTCTTCAAATGAGTATAATTAATGTAAATGTTTTCTCTTAGATTGCAGGCTTCATCAATGCTGTCAACCCATTTCCTGATGACAAGGAGAACTTGAGAGCCTTCCGGTTTTACGCTATCAACCCCATCGTGGACCCTTGGATTTTCATCATCTGTCGAAAATCTGTGTTTCGGCACCTGTGCTCTTTGCTGAGCTGTCGTTTTAGTAAAGGTGCAGTGAAGACTACAGCTCACTGTGCACTCTCATTACCTCTGGAGGTCCATCACATCCAGCGTAGTCCTGCGGAGGTATCTACAGCGAATGTGTACTCCAGTTTACCACTCTACCCCACACAGACTGCAGGCCCAAGCTGCCCCGCCTCACACCCTTGATATGTGGACATGGGACAGTACATGTATATAGACTCCTCACACAACCAAAGGCACAATGGTTATCTTCTCTGTAATGTACCAGTGGATTGTAGAAAATGATTGCACTTGATATTCTACTTGTGATGAGACAGCAAAACTTAACTATGATGCCAGAAGAATCTGCTCTAAAAGTACCTGTGAATGTGTTATTTAAATATGCTGTAAATGCATTGAGCTAATATGCATGAACACGTGGGATTTCCTTGTCCTTTTTATTTTCAATATGAGACATATATTAATATATATTATTTGGATGTGTTCAGGAAATATTCAAAGTAATTTATCGCTATGACAAATGTTGATGTGCATGAAGTAAATAAGTGATGTTACTTTACCTTTAGAGTTATTTCTGTACTTATGCCTTTTCAGCATGTTTTTGCCACTAGTGCCACTAAACTGGCCTTGCAATGTTAAAATCAAATGTCATGATAGTTGATAGTAATTTTCATAAACTCAAATATCAAAAATAGTGTCAATGTTGTCAAAGCTCTGAGATGTCTGTGAATGCTCTTGCTTAAATAATGCTGCTGCAAAATGCACTGTGATAAATTCTGTCACTTTAACTTAATTACATGTGTTTAAATGTGCCCGAGATGTGCCTATTGTGTTTTTGGAAGAATTTTGATTAGTGTATAAACGACTTGCTTTACATCTTATTGGCTCTCACATTTCCTTTAAAGAGCTACTACTTACACTCACTTGATTGCCACGTTGTGACTCTACTACCCCCCTGTGGTGATTTGGTGGAACAAACCTCAAGACAAAAAAAAAAAGATCAAGACTGGTTTACTGCACTTTGAGCAAGATGAAAACAATATGTGCTGCATGAACATAGTGATTCTCTCTTCCTGTGCAGGAAAACAATGTTTGTAGATGACTTCAATAAAAAAAAATCTTGTTCCATCATAGTGGGTTGTTTGTGTAAGCACCCCCTTTACCTTTAATACCTGTGATTTAACAAAACACCAGTTACAATTCATATTTATAAAACCCAAATTAAAACAGCTACTTTTCCTTTTAATGAAACAGTAACAGGTTTTATGAATACCCTCCAGCCTCAAACAGTTTTATGACAATGGCTTCATGTGGCCGAAGCACCAGTGTTTCCAGAGATGTTGCTCCCATGCGGTCCATCCCAGTACTGGCCACATACACTCCCGCTTCTGGTAGACTGGGTGCCCAAGCAGGGTCCAGGGAGCGAGTCTGGGGTCCAATATTGAGCAGAATAAGGAAATGGACACATCCCCATGAGCGCAGGAAGGCCAGAACGGGAGGGGGTGGAGTGGCGGTAGAGTTGGAGGAGTTGGAGGAGCTGGAGGAGTTGGAGGAGTTGAAGCTGTGGAAAGGGAGGAAGCTGAATGTGCCGTACAGTAGGGCCTCTTCCCTGGCCCTGGAGTGACTGAGGGAGGTGAACAATGCGTGGGCAACATGTCGCCTCTTCTTTGTGTACTGGTGCGAGGAACAGAAGTCTTACAATTATTATACTGTACTGTCATACAATATAATAAAACAAGACATGATATTGTACTCACTGAGCTTTCTGATTCAGGGTTACTGTCCTCTCTGAGAATTATAGCATGGTTTAGAGCCATATCCTGTATAGAATGAAAGGCGCATAAGAAAATTATTTATTTTGTTTTGTTTAAATTTGTTTTTTACACTTTGGGCATACCATATTGCAATACTAAAGGCACAATGTATTGGCAAAAATATACAATACAATAAACATCCCGATATATAGTTTTATTTGCCCACACAATTACAATGCAACAAGGTAACTAATTACTTATTTGTTTATGTATTTATGTATTTATTTATTTCTATACTCAGGATTTAATCATGATAGAAAACATAGGTTTCATAATTAAACTGCCAGTAAATTATGTAGGTTAAATGTAGTCTGAAGGTAATAGTCTGAGTCAATTCTAAACGTACCTCTTTTTGAACGATGTCTGAATCATGCTCTACTGCAGGAGACCCAGGCAGTGTCATCAACAGCACCAGCAGTAGTTTCTTTAACTTCTCAGATGCTTTCCCTCCAACCTGCACAGAGAGATCCATTTCACCAAACATGAACTCACCACTGACACTTAAAGAAAAAGCCCTCATGTACCATCCAGCTGGTCCATACTCCACTGTTATCTGCTCTGTACAGATGGGTCTCGATGGCAGAGGAGACTTCTTGTCCAGACAGAAGGTGAGGTGACTTGGGCAGGATTGATTTAATGACCATGTCCACCAGTGTAGTGTTTGGGGTACCGAGGTTGGGCAGATTATCTCTTCTCTGCTTGACTAAAATGATGCTGTAATAGTACAATTATTACAAAAGACTTTTTAAACATTTCAGCTTAATTTCCATTTTTATTTTTATCTTACCGCTCGTTCTGAGAGTTAAATTCTTGTAGAACTCCTCTCCACTCTAACAGAGTCTGAAATGCAAAAGGGTTTGATGGAAATAAGTTCTTGCATTCTAAAAACTGTAATCAGGAAGTTTGTACCTTTTCTGAAAATGCTTCATCAGTGTCGCAGATGGTAAATCCTGCCACTCCTTGAGCCAACCAGAACCGGAGTGCATCCTTTGGTTTGATCATTTAAAAAAAACACACACACAAAAAAAAGTAAACACAGTAATATATATATATTTTTAAATGATTACCTCTGCATTACCTTGATATTGGCTAAAGTGTTTGACTCTTCTGTGTCCTTTCCTCCTATTCCTCCCAGGAGGTCCACATCACAAAAGTCCAACACGACCTTTAGATCTGCCAGAGGAAACCAGTCAATACAAAACCACAACAATGTTGACAGATCCTGGTACCTGCTTTGTTGCTCTGCTGAAGGATCTGCTGAATCACAGGGAACGTGGCAGTACCTTTGTCCGTGACAGAGATATTCACAGGAGAAACTACTGTCCTAAACAGCCCCTCCAAAATGAGCGCTCCCACACCCAGAGACCTGAGATAGGACAACTCCTCTTTCAAGGCTACAAACGGAGAACAGACATTATATAGGATGGTTAATCACCATAAGCACCACAAGGAAAAGGTCATACAGTCTTCAGTCAGGTTAGTGTTTAAGAGATGTTTAATCCTTTTACAGAAGCCAGGCCATCATAAACAATAGTCTCTACTTTGCCTGTAGGTATTCTATAGAACACCAAAACGTCTTTGTCAGAGAATCTTGAATTTGCGGCATTCCCTCTTGCACAGCGTTGTTCTTACTATATACTACCCATATGTCTTGCCTGTTATTGATGGCTTTTCTGATAGATCTACCTACTTCATGTCACTCATTCCCAGTTTAGCAAGGTTTAATATTTGAGAAATTTTATTAATGGTAACCAAAGACAATGTACAATATACAAACAATGTAAAAAATTAATTAAAAAAAAATTAT